ATCACAGGGAATAGCAGCAAGATTGCTGGTGCAGCGTTATGCAGTACTCACTCACTCTTAGTGTACTCATCACAGGGAATAGCAGCAAGAGTGCTGGTGCAGCGTTATGCAGTACTCACTCCTAGTGTACTCATCACAGGGAATAGCAGCAAGATTGCTGGTGCAGCGTTATGCAGTACTCACTCACTCCTAGTGTACTCATCACAGGGAATAGCAGCAAGATTGCCGGTGCAGCGTTATGCAGTACTCACTCACTCCTAGTGTACTCATCACAGGGAATAGCAGCAAGATTGCTGGTGCAGCGTTATGCAGTACTCACTCACTCCTAGTGTACTCATCACAGGGAATAGCAGCAAGATTGCCGATGCAGCGTTATGCAGTACTCACTCACTCCTAGTGTACTCATCACAGGGAATAGCAACAAGATTGCTGGTGCAGCGTTATGCAGTACTCACTCACTCTTAGTGTACTCATCACAGGGAATAGCAGCAAGAGTGCTGGTGCAGCGTTATGCAGTACTCACTCACTCCTAGTGTACTCATCACAAGGAATAGCAGCAAGATTGCTGGTGCAGCGTTATGCAGTACTCACTCACTCCTAGTGTACTCATCACAGGGAATAGCAGCAATCTTGCTGGTGCAGCGTTATGCAGTACTAACTCACTCTTAGTGTACTCATCACAGGGAATAGCAGCAAGAGTGCTGGTGCAGCGTTATGCAGTACTCACTCCTAGTGTACTCATCACAGGGAATAGCAGCAAGATTGCTGGTGCAGCGTTATGCAGTACTCACTCACTCCTAGTGTACTCATCACAGGGAATAGCAGCAAGATTGCCGGTGCAGCGTTATGCAGTACTCACTCACTCCTAGTGTACTCATAACAGGGAATAGCAGCAAGATTGCTGGTGCAGCGTTATGCAGTACTCACTCACTCCTAGTGTACTCATCACAGGGAATAGCAGCAAGAGTGCTGGTGCAGCGTTATGCAGTACTCACTCCTAGTGTACTCATCACAGGGAATAGCAGCAAGATTGCTGGTGCAGCGTTATGCAGTACTCACTCACTCCTAGTGTACTCATCACAGGGAATAGCAGCAAGATTGCCGGTGCAGCGTTATGCAGTACTCACTCACTCCTAGTGTACTCATCACAGGGAATAGCAGCAAGATTGCTGGTGCAGCGTTATGCAGTACTCACTCACTCCTAGTGTACTCATCACAGGGAATAGCAGCAAGATTGCTGGTGCAGCGTTATGCAGTACTCACTCACTCCTAGTGTACTCATCACAGGGAATAGCAGCAAGATTGCTGGTGCAGCGTTATGCAGTACTCACTCACTCCTAGTGTACTCATCACAGGGAATAGCAGCAAGATTGCTGGTGCAGCGTTATGCAGTACTCACTCACTCTTAGTGTACTCATCACAGGGAATAGCAGCAAGATTGCCGGTGCAGCGTTATGCAGTACTCACTCACTCCTAGTGTACTCATCACAGGGAATAGCAGCAAGATTGCTGGTGCAGCGTTATGCAGTACTCACTCACTCTTAGTGTACTCATCACAGGGAATAGCAGCAAGAGTGCTGGTGCAGCGTTATGCAGTACTCACTCCTAGTGTACTCATCACAGGGAATAGCAGCAAGATTGCTGGTGCAGCGTTATGCAGTACTCACTCACTCCTAGTGTACTCATCACAGGGAATAGCAGCAAGATTGCTGGTGCAGCGTTATGCAGTACTCACTCACTCCTAGTGTACTCATCACAGGGAATAGCAGCAAGATTGCTGGTGCAGCGTTATGCAGTACTCACTCCTAGTGTACTCATCACAGGGAATAGCAGCAAGATTGCTGGTGCAGCGTTATGCAGTACTCACTCACTCCTAGTGTACTCATCACAGGGAATAGCAGCAAGATTGCCGGTGCAGCGTTATGCAGTACTCACTCACTCCTAGTGTACTCATCACAGGGGATAGCAGCAAGATTGCTGGTGCAGCGTTATGCAGTACTCACTCACTCCTAGTGTACTCATCACAGGGAATAGCAGCAAGATTGCTGGTGCAGCGTTATGCAGTACTCACTCACTCCTAGTGTACTCATCACAGGGAATAGCAGCAAGATTGCTGGTGCAGCGTTATGCAGTACTCACTCCTAGTGTACTCATCACAGGGAATAGCAGCAAGATTGCTGGTGCAGCGTTATGCAGTACTCACTCACTCCTAGTGTACTCATCACAGGGAATAGCAGCAAGATTGCTGGTGCAGCATTATGCAGTACTCACTCACTCCTAACGTACTCATCACAGGGAATAGCAGCAAGATTGCTGGTGCAGCGTTATACAGCATTCACTAACTCACTCCACATGTACTCATCACAGGGAATAGCAGCAGGGGGCACGGGTGGCCCAGTCGTCAAAGGCGCTGTGATTCACTGTGCAGAATTGCGTCCCTTTGGCACGCCAGAAATCTATGATTGTGGGTTCGAATCCCGGTTCGCCCCGATTATGTTTCTAGGTTTGTCAGCACCATACCCGTGCCCGTGGGTTTCACCAAAGTGGTAAACGTCTGAGACCTGCATCACTTCGGGCTTTCCTCCCACATTAAGCTTACACGCAGTGATATAACTTGAATACTGTTAAAGCGGCGTTAAACCCAACTAACTCATTTAATAGCACCAAGATTGCTGTTGCAGTGTTATGCAGTATTCACTCACTCACTCTACATGAACTCATCACAGGGAATAGCGGCCAGACTCCTGGTGCAGCATTCTGCAGTATTCACTCACTCACACTACACCTATTTTTCCAGACCACGCACTTCTTGCCTTTTATCTCCAATTGAATCTGTGTCCTCAATCGAGGGTTATGCACTAGTAATGACGTTATAAACTACCGGGCAAAAGAAAGTTTTCACCGACTTCACTTGACCAAACACCAAACACAAAGGCATATGTGAGATTTATGATGATTAATTTATAAACAGAAATCATTTTCTATGAATAAGAATGAAAATGCATTGTAATGCCGATATTGCATTTTTTTGCAATACACAAAGAAAGAGTCAAGGGGGCCAAATTAAAAATTACACAAATCAGAGTTCATTGAAAAAGTGCATGAAGAGTCCATTAATGACACAGTAGTAAGGTAACACGTCATCAATAGCGAGTGTGACCACCCTGGGCATCCATGCACGCCAACACACGCCTCCTCATTGACGTCAGTCGGCGGATAACGTCAACAGGAATCCTGTTCTATAAGTTCAATAGAGTCTGTTCAGCGAACCGACAGAAGCTTGGAGGCGTTACATGTTGTCTCAGCTGACGATCAAGATGATCCCAGAGATGTTCAATGGGGTTCATGTCTGGAGAACAAGGTGGCCAGGGCAATACGTTGACGTTAACGTTGTTCAGGTAGTCTTGATCAATTCGGGCGGTGTGAGGCCCTGCGTTGTCTTGTTGCAAAATTAATCCTCTTGGCTGATGTTGAATAAAGGGCAAAAGGTCTCAACACTTCATCACTGTATCGCTGAGCATTCAGGTTTCCTCGGATGATAGCCAGCCGTGTTGTAATCTGGCCACAAATGCCACCCCATACCATGACGCCTCCACCTCCAAACGGGTGAACTTCTCTAATGCAGTTTGGCGCCAGTCGCTCTCCCCTTCGTCGAAAAACTCGAGCTCTGCCATCGTTCCCGAACAGACAGAACCGACTTTCATCTGTAAAGAGCACTCTCGCCCAGTCACGTCGCTGCCACCGACGTACAGTTCGTGCCCATTGCAGTCCGCGTTGACGGTGTAGACGGGTCAAGGCCATTCCACGGAAGGGTCGGTAGGCTCGTATACCAGCCGTACGAAGTCGTCGAAGGACTGTTCGTCTGCTGATGGCATTCCCTAGTGCTGTTGCCTCCGTTGACGTCGCCGTCATACATCTGTTTCGGAGGTGAATATGCCGGATGTAGCGCTCTTCGGCCGGTGTTGTCACTCTCGGTCTTCCCGATCTTGGCCGGTCTTGAGTCTGTCCTGTCTGTAGGTTCTGGCTATCTGACGTAGAGTAGACCCAATATTGGCCACACCGATCGTTCTGTCTCGTTGCCATTGTGCAAGTCTGGGCATATTCTTGGTGGTTTTTTGCTTACTGAATGCCTGCTCTGTCCAACGTCGGTATTTATGCCACAATCACGCACGTGCATTTGGACCAATGTCTCAAAATCACGTTTTGCACGTTTTCAACAATGCATGATTTGGAAAGCTGCTTTCGAAAATCTGCGTTGTTGTCGTCATGTTGCATTTGGGCGAATGTTTTCTGCGGGGATTCAAACCTGTACCAGCTGTTTTGCTTTTTATACAACTATTTTTAAAGTGAAAGATTTCCTTTGCCCGGTAGTTTATATCAGACATACACTGAACGTGAAACGAATCATTCTCAGTATTGCTGATTGAATATTTCTTGAGATGAACTTGACCTGCATGTGTTGGAGTGAATGAGAATGGATTTACATGTCTTCAGGCATAATCTAGCATAATCGCATCAGGGAACACTAAGATTGTGTCTTCACCCATTGTACCATGTGTGGCATCAGACGGGACTGGATGTCTCGCATGCAAATTATCCATGAATCATTTGATCTTTAATAAGTGAATGACACTGAGCATTCGGTTAACTGTTTCTGGCAGGCCTTGAAAACGTGTTCACGATGTCAACTGTATGGCTGCACGAGGCATTGCTATTAAACACTGTTAAAGAGTGGATGGACTTCATATAAATTTTGTCTGCATCATCTACGTATCAACAACACGATATACACGTTTACATCAAAATAGACCTGAACACATGTAATGTGTTTGTTTGGACTAGTGGATTTTAAATTTGTGAAAATATTTCTGCATTTCATCGCAATTATACACTGTTGGACCCACTTGTTTCTGTTCTGTGATTTAAAGTTTGACCTTAACCTCCTTTGGTTTTTAAGTACATACACGAGGCACACTTACATTCAGTCTAAGGGTTACTGGATTACGTGACTGACCACCACAGTGGAACTACGCAGTGGAACTACGCAGTGTCTGCAGGATACATATAACACGCAGGTATTGTGTTAGACCGTGGCTTGCTTCTGTCAACGCATGTAGTATATTAAAGAAACGCCACGCCACTGACTGTAACACGTCCGGCGCCCGCGGCTTGCTTCTGTCAACGCATGTTTTATATTAAAGATACGCCACTCCAATCACTGTAACACGTCCGGCGCTCGTGGCTTGCTTCTGCCAACGTATGTTTTATATTAGGGGGGTCATAGTACTACGGGTCAGGTCCAAATACTATGGGGTTCTAAATATTTCTTTACACCGGCGCTCGAGGCCTGCTTCTGTCAATGCAAGCAGTATATTACAGGTACCACACGCCGAAAACCGTAATTCATCCGGCTTGTTTCTATAAACATGCAGGAAATTCAAAAAATGCATCTTATGTGTCTCTCTTAACTGCATTTGCTTCCTCGAAACAAATGTTATGGTAATAAGTTTGGTGCGTCCCTTTGATAGGTTAACGTTCAATGTCTGCAAATGAAAAATGTAACACGTCCAACATCCGGCTTGTTTTGTCAACACGCAGTATGTGAAGAAATGCAACCTACCTTTTCTTTCTGTTCATTGTTTCCTGTGTCTAATCTTAAAAACTGTTTAGTACTTTCTTCTAATATGTTTTAGCACATCTTCTTTCCATGTTTTGTCCATCTTCCCGAGGCAAGGGAGTTAACTGACTTTAAAAGTCCAGTCTCCACCATTGCCAATCTAGGCAGGAACTCCTGGGCTTGATCGTAGCGCCAAGTGTGGTTATTACGAGTTATGGCCCTTCTAAGCCTCTCCTAAAGACCAATCAGATTCCACCTCTCGTATCACTTGCATTTGTTCCAAACAAAATGGCGGCGCCCAGTCAAGACATTCTGCTCGATAATCAAGATCTATATTGTGATAAAAGAGTGCTTACATCGCGAAGTGCATCAAATCACGTGAGTACCTTGATTAAAAACATGAAAAGACTTGGAAAATATCTGTTGACAATGAGTTGGCGGTGCATATGTTTTGCAAATCGCACCACAGTTTACGGACCGAATTTCCATTTCGTTGCACGATTTTGATTGGACTAGCAAACACCCGTACGTCCACCCAAAATGTAACTCCATAATACCAGCCTAGTTTGGCAAGGGTGGAAACTGGACTTTCATCGTCAGTTAACTCTCTTAACTTTTGTCATGTCATTATGTTGTTTTCAGGTGTTTTTTTTATATTGTCTTGTTGCTTGCATGTGCTTTGTTATGTTGTCATGTTGTTTTCAGGTGTTTTTGTATATTGTCTTGTTGCTTGCAGGTGTATTGGTATGCTGTCATGTTGTTTTCAGGTGCTTTTGTATATTGTCTTGTTGCTTGCATGTGTTGTGTTATGTTGTCATTTTGTTTTCAGGTGTTTATGTATATTGTATTGTTGCTTGCAGGTGTTTTGGTGTGCTGTCATGTTGTTTTCAGGTGTTTTTGTATATTGTCTTGTTGCTTGCAGGTGTTTTGGTATGCTGTCATGTTGTTTTCAGGTGCTTTTGTATATTGTCTTGTTGCTTGCATGTGTTTTGTTATGTTGTCATGTTGTTTTCAGGTGTTTTTGTATATTGTCTTGTTGCTTGCAGGTGTTTTGGTATGTTGTCATGTTGTTTTCAGGTGTTTTTGTATATTGTCTTGTTGCTTGCAGGTGTTTTGGTATGTTGTCATGTTGTTTTCATGTGTTTTTGTATATTGTCTTGTTGCTTGCAGGTGTTTGGTTATGTTGTCATGTTGTTTTCAGGTGTTTTTGTATATTGTCTTGTTGCTTGCAGGTGTTTTGGTATGTTGTCATGTTGTTTTCAGGTGTTTTTGTATATTGTCTTGTTGCTTGCATGTGTTTTGGTATGTTGTCATGTTGTTTTCATGTGTTTTTGTATATTGTCTTGTTGCTTGCAGGTGTTTGGTTATGTTGTCATGTTGTTTTCAGGTGTTTTTGTATATTGTCTTGTTGCTTGCAGGTGTTTTGTTATGCTGTCATGTTGTTTTCAGGTGCTTTTGTATATTGTCTTGTTGCTTGCATGTGTTTTGTTATGTTGTCATGTTGTTTTCAGGTGTTTTTGTATATTGTCTTGTTGCTTGCAGGTGTTTTGGTATGTTGTCATGTTGTTTTCAGGTGTTTTTGTATATTGTCTTGTTGCTTGCATGTGTTTTGGTATGTTGTCATGTTGTTTTCAGGTGTTTTTGTATATTGTCATGTTGCTTGCAGGTGTTTGGTTATGTTGTCATGTTGTTTTCAGGTGTTTTTGTATATTGTCTTGTTGCTTGCAGGTGTTTTGGTATGTTGTCATGTTGTTTTCAGGTGTTTTTGTATATTGTCTTGTTGCTTGCAGGTGTTTTTGTATGTTGTCATGTTGTTTTCAGGTGTTTTTGTATATTGTCTTGTTGCTTGCAGGTGTTTTGGTATGCTGTCATGTTGTTTTCAGGTGTTTTTGTATATTGTCTTGTTGCTTGCAGGTGTTTTGGTATGTTGTCATGTTGTTTTCAGGTGTTTTTGTATATTGTCTTGTAGCTTGCAGGTGTTTTGGTATGCTGTCATGTTGTTTCCAGGTGTTTTTGTATATTGTCTTGTTGCTTGCATGTATTTTGTTATGTTGTCATGTTGTTTTCAGGTGTTTTTGTATATTGTCTTGTAGCTTGCATGTGTTTTGGTGTGCTGTCATGTTGTTTTCAGGTGTTTTTGTATATTGTCTTGTAGCTTGCATGTGTTTTGGTATGTTGTTATGCTGCTTTCAGGTGTTTTTGTATATTGTCTTGTTGCTTGCAGGTGTTTTGGTATGTTGTCATGTTGTTTTCAGGTGTTTTTGTATATTGTCTTGTAGCTTGCATGTGTTTTGGTATGTTGTTATGCTGCTTTCAGGTTTTTTTGTATATTGTCTTGTTGCTTGCAGGTGTTTTGGTATGTTGTCATGTTGTTTTCAGGTGTTTTTGTATATTGTCTTGTAGCTTGCATGTGTTTTGGTATGTTGTTATGCTGCTTTCAGGTGTTTTTGTATATTGTCTTGTTGCTTGCAGGTGTTTGGTTATGTTGTCATGTTGTTTTCAGGTGTTTTTGTATATTGTCTTGTAGCTTGCATGTGTTTTGGTATGTTGTTATGCTGCTTTCAGGTGTTTTTGTATATTGTCTTGTTGCTTGCAGGTGTTTGGTTATGTTGTCATGTTGTTTTCAGGTGTTTTTGTATATTGTCTTGTTGCTTGCATGTGTTTTGTTATGTTGTCATGTTGCTTTCAGGTGTTTTTGTATATTGTCTTGTTGCTTGCATGTGTTTGGTTATGTTGTCATGTTGTTTTCAGGTGTTTTTGTATATTGTCTTGTTGCTTGCATGTGTTTTGGTATGTTGTCATGTTGTTTTCAGGTGTTTTTGTATATTGTCTTGTTGCTTGCAGGTGTTTTGGTATGTTGTCATGTTGTTTTCATGTGTTTTTGTATATTGTCTTGTTGCTTGCAGGTGTTTTGGTATGTTGTCATGTTGTTTTCAGGTGTTTTTGTATATTGTCTTGTTGCTTGCAGGTGTTTGGTTATGTTGTCATGTTGTTTTCAGGTGTTTTTGTATATTGTCTTGTTGCTTGCAGGTGTTTTGGTATGCTGTCATGTTGTTTTCAGGTGTTTTTGTATATTGTCTTGTTGCTTGCAGGTGTTTTGGTATGCTGTCATGTTGTTTTCAGGTGTTTTTGTATATTGTCTTGTTGCTTGCAGGTGTTTTGGTATGCTGTCATGTTGTTTTCAGGTGTTTTTGTATATTGTCTTGTTGCTTGCAGGTGTTTTGGTATGCTGTCATGTTGTTTTCAGGTGTTTTTGTATATTGTCTTGTTGCTTGCAGGTGTTTTGTTATGTTGTCATGTTGTTTTCAGGTGTTTTTGTATATTGTCTTGTAGCTTGCATGTGTTTTGGTATGTTGTTATGCTGCTTGCAGGTGTTTTGTTGCGTTGTCATGTTCTCAGGTGTTTTGGTATGTTGTTATGATGCTTGCAGGTGTTTTGTTGCGTTGTCATTTTGTTTTCAGTTTTTTTTGTGGAGTACTGTACAGAATGAAGTTTGCAGCTCTCCTGCTTCTGGGAATGTTGATGGCACGAGCACAGAATTTTGGTATTAGTACCAATAGAATACTTCATATTGTTCCATAGTCCATAACTGGTATTAATCTTCTAAAACTGTTTGTCGTTCAAGGCTTTCCAAAGTAAAACGTCAGTCAATTATCCACGATTGTCCCATAACTGTGACGTTATAGCCGATAAAATATATGCATATAAATTCATTTACTTTTACATAAATTATTCACTCTTATGATGGGTCTTTTTAAAGATTAAATCGAACTGTACAAAATGAAGTTAAACAGAAGTGTTTGACACCCATCTCTTTCAAACTTTCCCAAAACCTTTGTCAGCTCCATTTGGACCCCAAACCCTACTTTAACCAATAACCTTACTCCTGCAGATAGATGTGACGTTGTCAACTTCTTGTGGTGGATGAACGACCTCTGTCATTTGACCCTTCTCAGATATTACGTCACCCTCGACGGTGTTCTGACACAGCAAGACATCCACAGCACCCTCAACGCTGTCTGCAGGTAAACCTTGCACATCTTCGCTTACCCAGGGTATAATATCTCCATTCTATTGTCATAAATACCCTTTACCAATTCGCTGCCTTCCCACAACTTGGTTTCGAATGATGAGATGCTAAAAATAGCCATCCAATCAAATTGCACAGGTGAGCGAGGGACGTTCGGTGCTAAGTTGGATATAATAGAGAAGTCGAAGATGATGTCACGAAGCCGTGATGGCGAATGGGTTCAGGGTTTTTAATGGACGAACACTTCGTCCAACAAATAAAGTTATCTCATTTAAAAAATATATCTACAGAATATAAATAAAATCCAAATGGACCCCAGAACAATGCTCATTTTCTAGACTTATCAAATCATTCTACACTTGAATTGGTTCATTTTATAATTTATTCTCTAGGGTCTGGGAGACAGACTTGGAATTGATCTTAAAATGGAGATAGGATATATTTGTATGTACCCTTTGTAAGCACCGGACATCTGAGGAGCATCAAATATTGTACACAAGCCATCACGTGCGACGTGTTGTGTGATATTTTTGCTGTTGTGAAAGTGTTACATCAGTTCATTCCACATTAACTGATCAACAAAACAATCTGATACCTAGACCCTGTTCTGATGTGTGTTAATGAAGATTACACAACAGCTCGGACCTTGCTCTACACGAATAAACGCCGATGGGTTAGATTAGAAAAGCACTTCTAGTTCCATATTACAATCAAAAGTGTCTACGGTGTGAGTATGGCTTTACGCTGATTTGAGCAATATTCCAGCAATATTACGACAGGGGACATTAGGGCTTCACATATTGTAACCATGTGGGAAATGGAACCCGGGCCTTCGGCATGACGTGTGGACGCTTTAACCATCAGGCTACCCCACCGCTCCGGGGACAGTAACAATCAAAGGTAGATATTCACATGAGTTAGATATTTGGTTCTGCGTTCTACACTTGGGATTAGTATTCTACAGACAAACTTCAATATTTAAATACTTTTTAACATGCCGTTTTTTTAATTGCCACTTTGATTGCCGCTTTGTTGTTAAATCGTGAATGACTACAGTCACAGCATTTGCCCAATGACATGCATATGCATACATAAGTTTCACAAAGTAACTTACCGGGAAAAAGATAGTTACCCTTGTTTGATGGGGGGGGGGGGGGGGGGGGGGGCACGGGTGGCCCAGTCGTCTAAGGCGCCGCGATTCGCTGTACAGAGTTGCGTCCCTTGGGCACGCCAGAAACCTATGATTGTGGGTTCCAATCCCGGTTCGCCCCGATTATGTTTCTAGGTTTGTCAGCACCATACCCGTGCTCGTGGGTTTCACCGAAGTGGTAAACGTCTGAGACCTGCATCACTTCGGGCTTTCCTCCCACATTAGGCTGACACGCCGCGATATGACTGGAATACTGTTAAAAGCGGCGTTAAACCCAACTCACTCACTCACTTGTTTGATGGTAGCTAAAAATGAAACAAACAAGAAATGGGTGTATATTTCAATGGTGATGTATGTTAATGGTGTGGTTTGATAACGTTTGAAATCTTTAGGTCAAATCAAACTTTCTTTTGTCCGATTGTTTTTTTTAATGTGCAGCTTACGTTAAAACTGAACGGGCCGTGTTGGTCTTGAGTGTTGTGAAGACATATCGCTCAATTAGCTACAGGTGGATAACAGTTCGTTTTCAAACAAAACCAAATCATCATCAATTACAATTTCCATATAGCTTTTGCATCTCTAGGACACATTATTATGATGGTCATCTTTTACCAGCTACTACTGACATGTCCTCACGGGGACACAGTTTATTTCATGGTACAGTAAACTACGGTTATAACGAACACGCTTTTAACGAACTAACGGATATAACGAACTAACTTTTTTGTCCCAACTATATGCTGTTGTTATGCTGTATATATGCTTATAACGAATTACGGTTATAACGAACTAAAATTAGTAGTCCCTTTGAGTTCGTTATAACCGTACTTTACTGTATTAACAACTGGGTGCACAGCTGTTACAGCGGGGATATATCATCACATGCATCTTATCAACACATCCACCAATGTTGCCATTCTGTTGACTCGTGGTGGTGGCAACAACTTAGGTCGTATTTAGTTTCTTTTAGATCTTTTGGCTTGAATTATTTGTATATCACTTCGGGACAGGATTTTATGTTTCTCTGTCGTAGCACGGACTTGTATAACTTATATAGGTCCGTGGTCGTAGTAAGCGACTGCTGTCGTTCACACTTGTTCCGAAGTGATATGCTATAATATTGTAAAAATACGGTAGGCACCCGCCTTTACTGTGCAAGAGTGTAGGGCGGCGAAACAAAAGGCACTTAAATCACAATATCGTCCAAATTTAGACTCATCATTAGACAGCGTTTAGAATCATTCACTAGATCCACCATTTCGATCTAATACCTGCTGGGTTGTCTCTAGTCCTGCACCATGACCGTGGAATATATTTATTTTATGAAAAAATAATAATCTAGAAATGCATACAAAAGCAAGTCTAGTCAGCTCAAGCTAGCTCTGAAATCAGCATAGGGAATTTTTTTTATTTTTAGAGTCAAGAAGGATATTGTGTAATATAAGATTTCAGAGACTAAATGTAAGTCTAGGTTGTCTCCTTCCAGTGAAGTTACCGAGGAGCGACGTCTGTGTGCATTCCAGCGGACGGTGACCTGTGACAACCGCGACACCCTCCGCAGCTTTGCTGCTGTCAACGGCATCTGTATCGACGACCACCCCTCACCCTATGCCCTGCAGCGTAAGTACAGGAACATCCACGCTAAAGGTTCAACAAAATTCACCTCTCAAATCACCTCTCCCACCTCTCTCTCACTTTTTACGATTTACATGAACAGTAAATTGAAGTGTACTGCGAAGTGTGACTGTTTGGCCAGCATCATTACTGAGAAAAGTTACGCAAAGTAAGGCTAGCATTTTGTTTCGCTGTTGTAGTACTTGCGTCCATCCCTCCCCGAGTGAACGCTTCATGCATGGTAGGGGAAGCGACTGGAGTCATCCGCAGCTGTACCGAAGTGGTTGCGTGGAGAGCAGCCTTTGGTTTCAACCGCTCCATGTCGGAGGCCGCCATTGTTCAGCATCACCAGATGTAGGTATCATTATCAAACCAAAGAACACAATCCGATGGCGATAGTCCAGCATTGTGAAAAGTGCTTTTATATCTTGTTGGAATCATCTTCCCGAGGCAAGGGAATTAAAAGTCCAGTTTCCACCCTTGTCGAACTAGGCAGGAATGTCTGGGTTCAATCGGAGCGCGATCAGTGGCGATGATGAGTTATGTCCCTTCTATGACCCTTCGATCGAGAGATTCCACCACTCATATCACTTGTATTTTCTTCGAAATAAATGGCGGAACCCAGTCAATAGTATCTGATTTTCAAAATCAAAATCTATATTTGAATAAAACAGTCTGACTTCGCGAAGTGCAATAAATCACCTTGAGCATCTTCAATAAATACAGAAAAAGATTTGGAAAATATCTGTTGATGCCGAGTTGTCAGTACACATGCTTTGCAAATCCTGCAATCGACTGAAATCTGCAGAGCTGTTTACGAACCGTATCCTGATTTCGTTACGCGATTTTGACTGGACTGTGTATAAACTCGTTAGTCCAGCCAAAATATAACTCCATAATGCCAGCCTAGTTCGGCGAGGGTGGTACCTGGACTTTCATAGTCAGTTAACTCCCTTGTGTAGGGAAGATGGTTAAAATGAGTGAGTGGGGATTTTTGCTGCTTTTATCTATACATCAGTCATATCACGGAGGGGATCAGATATTGCCGCCTTACAATTTTGGGGACTGAATCCGAGCCTTCAGTGTGACGAGCGAATGCTGCAACCATTAGACTACCCCCGATTCCGTTGCTATGTTTACCAGAAGTACTGACAGTTGACCCAATGCCATGTTTCACTGTCACAGATTCGGTTCCTCATTCACAGTTTGGGGTTGACAATTGGTCTTCAGGAACCCATGCTGAACAACAAAAAATATGCTGATTTAGTTTCTGTCAACAGATTTACATCTATTTGCTGATCTGGAAACTGCAGTCCATATACATTTATATTTCTTGTCATTATGCAAGACTAATATTTGTACAAGTTTATCCAAGCCCTGTGGCCCTGAAACAAACAGGGCCCTGTTCCACAAAGTTTTCTTAGTCGTATTCGCAACCTTTATATTCATAACGTTCATCGCAGCGCTAAGATCACTTTGTGGAACGACCCTGTCTGCTTCAGGTGAAAGGTATGCAACCAAACACTTTATAATATTAAAGAATTACCCCGCCTGTTGTGATCAATAACATACTAGATTGATGGAGTGAATATGTTATGAAAAGACATAAATATGATACTAAGAAATAATATATCCGATCACAAGTTGATTCCTCAATACAATCGATCACAAGTTGATTCCTAACTACAATACAAGTTCCAAGCATATATTACTTTTCCATTTCAGTCAGGTGAACAGGGGCGTATTATGTATGTACTCGGGAGCGGACGGCAGAATGGCGCGGTGTGCGGAGGAGGAGGGGAAGTTGGAGGGGTTGAAGGCTGCCTACCTGTTGTTCCTGCTCGCATACGCTCCCCCGGGATTCACCTATAACCATACCTACATCACCGATACCACTGACAGACATTAGACATCGCCTTCATAAACAGTGTCACTGACAGACGAGGGCTGATGTCCATGTAGCCTCAGTAGCAACTAGTCTCTAGGCTACGGAGTAACTGCAAATTGACTGATGTCCACGTAGCCTAGAGTAGCAACCATTGCCCCCATACGGACCGTCTCTAGGCTACGGATTAACTGTACATTTGCTGGTGTCCATGTAGCCCTCAGTAGCGACTAGTCTCTAGGCTACGGAGTAACTGCAAATTGACTGATGTCCACGTAGCCTAGAGTAGCAACCATTGCCCCCATACGGACCGTCTCTAGGCTACGGATTAACTGTACATTTGCTGGTGTCCATGTAGCCCTCAGTAGCGACTAGTCTCTAGGCTACGGAGTAACTGCAAATTGACTGATGTCCACGTAGCCTAGAGTAGCAACCATTGCCCCCATACGGACCGTCTCTAGGCTACGGATTAACTGTACATTTGCTGGTGTCCATGTAGCCCTCAGTAGCGACTAGTCTCTAGGCTACGGAGTAACTGCAAATTGACTGATGTCCACGTAGCCTAGAGTAGCAACCATTGCCCCCATACGGACCGTCTCTAGGCTACGGATTAACTGTACATTTGCTGGTGTCCATGTAGCCCTCAGTAGCGACTAGTCTCTAGGCTACGGAGTAACTGCAAATTGACTGATGTCCACGTAGCCTAGAGTAGCAACCATTGCCCCCATACGGACCGTATCTAGGCTACGGATTAACTGTACATTTGCTGGTGTCCATGTAGCCCACAGTAGCGACCACTGCCACAATACGGACCGTCTCCGGGCTGCAGAGTAACTGTAAATTGACTGACATAAATGTAGCCTTCAGTAGCGACCACTGCCACAATACGGACCTTCTCTAGGCTACGGATTAACTGTAAATTGACTTGACATAGATGTAGCCTTCAGTAGCGACCACTGCCACAATACGGACCTTCTCTAGGCTACGGATTAACTGTAAATTGACTGACATAGATGTAGCCTTCAGTAGCGACCACTGCCACAATACGGACCTTCTCTAGGCTACGGATTAACTGTAAATTGACTGACATAGATGTAGCCTTCAGTAGCGACCACTGCCACAATACGGACCTTCTCTAGGCTACGGATTAACTGTAAATTGACTGACATAGATGTAGCCTTCAGTAGCGACCACTGCCACAATACGGACCTTCTCTAGGCTACGGATTAACTGTAAATTGACTGACATAGATGTAGCCTTCAGTAGCGACCACTGCCACAATACGGACCTTCTCTAGGCTACGGATTAACTGTAAATTGACTGACATAGATGTAGCCTTCAGTAGCGACCACTGCCACAATACGGACCTTCTCTAGGCTACGGATTAACTGTAAATTGACTTGACATAGATGTAGCCTTCAGTAGCGACCACTGCCACAATACGGACCTTCTCTAGGCTACGGATTAACTGTAAATTGACTGACATAGATGTAGCCTTCAGTAGCGACCACTGCCACAATACGGACCTTCTCTAGGCTACGGATTAACTGTAAATTGACTGACATAGATGTAGCCTTCAGTAGCGACCACTGCCACAATACGGACCTTCTCTAGGCTACGGATTAACTGTAAATTGACTGACATAGATGTAGCCTTCAGTAGCGACCACTGCCACAATACGGACCTTCTCTAGGCTACGGATTAACTGTAAATTGACTGACATAGATGTAGCCTTCAGTAGCGACCACTGCCACAATACGGACCTTCTCTAGGCTACGGATTAACTGTAAATTGACTTGACATAGATGTAGCCTTCAGTAGCGACCACTGCCACAATACGGACCTTCTCTAGGCTACGGATTAACTGTAAATTGACTGACATAGATGTAGCCTTCAGTAGCGACCACTGCCACAATACGGACCTTCTCTAGGCTACGGATTAACTGTAAATTGACTGACATAGATGTAGCCTTCAGTAGCGACCACTGCCACAATACGGACCTTCTCTAGGCTACGGATTAACTGTAAATTGACTGACATAGATGTAGCCTTCAGTAGCGACCACTGCCACAATACGGACCTTCTCTAGGCTACGGATTAACTGTAAATTGACTGACATAGATGTAGCCTTCAGTAGCGACCACTGCCACAATACGGTGGGTGGGTGAGTTCGGTTTTACGCCGCTTTTAGCAATATTCCAGCAATATCACAGCAGAGGACACCAGAAATGGGCTTCACACATTGTACCCATGTCGGGAATCGAACCTGGGTCTTCGGCGTGACGAGCTAACGCTTTAACCACTAGGCTACCGACCGCCCCGCCACAATACGGACCGTCTCTACTGTACATTGGCTGAACATGAACTCAATAAATAGATACGATGAATGATATCGAAATATGTTTGGTTTGGGTTTTTTTACACGTCACCTCAACGTTTTCGCATACGTCTGAACAGCGACAAAACAAGTGCAGGTAAATACGCGTGCGCGGTATGGTGGTCGCATATCAAATGTATCCTTACGTCGCTATTATTTGAAACCTCTGATTGATTGATCAGTCAGAAATGGATGTTCTCTGTTGCTATTTTAGTGTTGTAGTTAAATTGTCATTATGGTGTGCATGAAACATCAAATGTACTTTGTATATTACTTCATTTATTTGCCGTTTCTAAGGCAGACAACACTATGTCCATACTTATTTATCATGTGCCAAATTTCAAGTGTTTTGAGGTACAACGTATTGATTATATGTCCGTCGAGATCTCAAACTCCCTTCAAGTCTTCTTCATACTAACTTTGACTTACGAAATACCCAAGGTCTTGTGGACTCGTGTTGTTGTTGTTGTTGTTGTTATTGTTGTTGTCGTTTGCCAATACCATATTTTAGCTGCAAAACCCGTTTTCTTCTCCAACACGTTCTCAAATATTAATTCTCTCTCGCCATGATGATTTGGAAGGGCGACGTAAGGTGCGTTTCCTTGGCAACAACCCACATGACGGAAATGGCTAAGGATTTGTATTTTTGCGTGTAACAGGTCTGTCGGCAGACCTTATGGTGTCTTCAGACCGATGTTGGCAGACAACTTGGTACATCCTCAAGTGCAGATGTTGATGACTTAAAATGGATAATATTATTATGATTATACTGAGTGACTACGAGGTCCTTGAAAACGGAAGAATGTCTGATATTGAATGAACTCTCAAAGTTCGTCCTTTTTGAATATTTCAAAATGTTGAAACAGAATATCCCTTTACTTTTGTAAGTCAATTTTCTAAAACTAAGAGGGAATAAGTGAGTGAGTTGGCTTTCAACGCCGCTTTAATCAGTATTCCTGTTATATCATGGTGTGTCAGCTTAATGTGAGAGGAACGCCCGAAGTGATGCAGGTCTCAGACATTTACCACCTTGGTGAAATCCATGAGCACAGGTTTGGTGCAGACAAACCTTAAACCATAATTTGGTGGAACCGGGATTCGAACCCACAATCATAATTTGCTGGCGTGCCCAAGGGACGCAACTCTGTACAGCGAGATGCGGCGCCTTAGACGACTGGGCCTCCCTTGTCCTCACAATAACAAGTAGATCTCAGGTCGCATTGCCAATGAAAATGTTATAAAATGTTACTTGAAGAGTTTTTATATCAATTTTCAACAACAGTTCCATTCAAATGAGGAGTAGCCTTGTGGTTTAAGCGTTCGCTCGTCACGCCGAAGACCCGGGTTCGATTCCCGACATGGGTAAAATGTGTGAAGCCCATTTATGGTGTCCCCTCGCCGTGATATTGCTGGAATACAATGTATTTCTAAAAGCGGCGTAAAACCATACTGACTCAATATTTATTATATATATTATATTATATTATATATACAGCAGCATCAATATATCTACCAATGAACATTGAATAACAAGTCTGTTATCACCACAACGTGATTATCATTCTAAGAAATGCGATCGTGGGCTGGCACACTATCTACAACACGACACACTGACAGATGCTTCTGACTACTGTGATTCAAGTGACTGTTATCAGGACCGTCCTTAACAGAGCATCACGCTGGTCACATGTCCAGCTCGCGCAACTGTGGGAAACTTACCTATGTATTCCGTAAGTAAACGAAACCTTTTACAGCATTAGAGGATACAGTTTATACAGTCGTATAGACAGTTTTAAACGACATCTTCATATCGCAATTAGAATCAAAGAGCGAAACAAATAATATAAAGCAAGTTGGTTTTCTCGTTATTGTGAAACTGTAGAATAACCTGTGTCAATTGTCAGCCGAAACAAATTCCGTTGACCTAAAAGGCAATATAGTAGTAAACATTATATGAATGGATTACTGAAAATCAATGATGACACACTCTTATGTAGTATACAGTAATCTACGGTTATAACGAACTCGAAGGGACCACTCATTTTAGTTCGTAATAACCGTAGTTCGTTATAAGCATATATACGACATTTATACAACAAATAGTCGGGACTGAAAAATAGGTTCGTTGTATCGCTCAGTTCGTTATAACCGTAGTTTACTGTATCTGATATTCGGACTTACATATACATGCATTGAGTTCAGATATGACGTCACGTATTGCAATAGTGATATACTGAAAAAACGTTATATTTTTATGAAATTGTGTGCTTAATTTTCACTACATTGATGATCAGTGGCGATCCGTGAAGGTCCTTGGTAGAATAGGTCTTCAGCAACCCATGCTTGCCGTAAGAGGCGACTCTGCTTGCCGTAAGAGGCGACTAACGGGATTGGGTGGTTTATGTCTGTAAACCTGAACCCCAAAACACATCCTATACCTCACGCAGTAGCGCCACACACCTGCGTAGAGCGTCATACCTGCTTTTGACACTTACAAAGAGTGAGTGAGTGAGTTGGGTTTAACGCCGCTTTTAACAGTGTTCCAGTTATTTCACGGCGTGTCAGCTTAATGTGGGAGGAAAGCCCGAAGTGATGCAGGTCTCAGACGTTTACTTACAGTGATTAAGTCTACTTCTATAACAAGAATGTATTCATTTACTGATAACGCTTCATTGATGCTATGTGAAATACACTCAGTGAACTGATAATGAAATGCACCGTAATTTCTGTGATAATGTATGACGAAGCTACTGGCATGTTATGTGATTTACGACTAGCTTATCAAATCTACAGCACGACACGATCACGGCGAGAGTTCAATGAGATGGTATGTCACGAGTTTTGATGCATACCAACAGCCCAAATCCAGGGTAGATCACGACTACAGAATATTAACACCCGGGACATTGACATTTGTCGAAGAAAGTAAGTGAGTGAATAAGTAAGTTTTTACGCCGCTTTTAGCAATATATTCCAGCAATATCACGGCGGGGGACACCAGAAATGGGTTTCACACATTGTACTCAAGTCGGGAATCGAACCCTGGTCTTCGGCGTGACGACCGAACGCTTTAAGCTACCCGACCGCCCCTTGTCGAAAAAGAAGGAATCCTTCTTCCTTGATTCTATGAAAGATCGTTATAAGTACAGTAGAAGACGGATATAACGAACTACAAGGGACCAGTGAAATCAGTTCGTTATATCCGTTGTTCGTTATACACGTTTTCGCTCGGAAACGTCCGCCATCTTGGATAAGACAAAACACAATACACGTTATTGCAGTGTTACACGTGAAATCTTCATGGCCTAATTTCACTGCAAGTTCGTCAGCTTTGGTCTGCAGTAACGGACCACTAAACGGAATAATTTCGCTTCTCGCGTATTTTCACGATTTTGGAATGTCAAATTCCATTGCAATGTATTTGTTGGTTTTTATGCCAGCATCAACAGCATTAATAATTCTCAATTTCGTGTCTAAACTGACAGCTTTCCTCTTACTATTGCCCGCCATGATAGCATATGCAAGTGAACTGACACAGTCAAACCACTCTAGTTAACTGACTTAAGTCGGGTGCTCAGCTCTGACACAATATCCATGTCCTGTCACGTGAAGACTGGAATTAAAGACTGTGAAGATTTGCGTATATTTTGACACATCGTGGTATTCGTTATTTTGTAAAAACATGAATTCTGAAAAATCTTATCCATGTTATGTTTCTGTAACCGACACACCCAAACACAGTTTTAGTTATGTTAACACAGAATATAACAGCCAATGCAATGCCATTTGTTAAAGGAACTTTCCGAAATTGTAAATAGTCACCACACGAAGAATGTATTAAGTTCATATTGTTGAATGCCCAAAGTAGTGACAACAGGGCAGCACCTACTGAACGGCCTTTGACCAAGACCTGATGACAACAGGACAGTACCTACTGAACGGCCTTTAGCCAAGACCTGATGACAACAGAGCGGTACCTACTGAACGGCCTTTAGCCAAGACCTGATGACAACAGGACAGTACCTACTGAACGGCCTTTAGCTAAGACCTGATGACTACAGGGCGGTACCTACTGAACGGCCTTTAGCCAAGACCTGATGAGAACAGGGCGGTACCTACTGAACGGCCTTTAGCCAAGACCTGATGACAACAGAGCGGTACCTACTGAACGGCCTTTGACCAAGACCTGATGACAACAGGGCGGTACCTACTGAACGACCTTTAGCCAAGACCTGATGACAACAGAGCGGTACCTGCTGAACGGCCTTTAGCCAAGACCTGATGAGAACAGGGCGGTACCTACTGAACGGCATTTAGCCAAGACCTGATGAGAACAGGGCGGTACCTGCTGAACGGCCTTTAGCCAAGACCTGATGACAACAGAGTGGTACCTACTGAACGGCCTTTAGCCAAGACCTGATGACAACAGAGCAGTACCTGCTGAACGGCCTTCAGCCAAGACCCGATGACAACAGGGCGGTACCTACTGAACGGCCTTTAGCCAAGACCTGATGACAACAGGGCGGTACCTACTGAACGGCCTTTAGCCAAGACCTGATGACAACAGAGCAGTACCTACTGAACGGCCTTTAGCCAAGACCTGATGACAACAGGGCGGTACCTACTGAACGGCCTTTAGCCAAGGCCTGATGAGAACAGGGCGGTACCTGCTGACGGGCCTTTAGCCAAGACCTGATGACAACAGGGCGGTACCTACTGAACGGCCTTTAGCCAAGACCTGATGAGAACAGGGCGGTACCTGCTGAACGGCCTTTAGCCAAGACCTGATGAGAACAGGGCGCTACCTACTGAACGGCCTTTAGCCAAGACCTGATGACAACAGGGCGGTACCTGCTGAACGGCCTTTAGCCAAGACCTGATGACGATAGGGCGGTACCTACTGAACGGCCTTGACATACTGTACAGATTAGATATACTCAAAGGCAGTAAACGTGATAATATACATGTATGAAAAACGAATTGGTGATACGGAGAATGTGGCTTTACAAATAGAT